GTGAGGAGGGGATGGCACTGGGCTACTCCAGGGTTGCCAAAGACACTTGGTAGTGAAGAAAGCTGATGGCTGGGACATTGCCTGGGTTTTATTTGTGATTGGAAATGAATTATAGCAGAAAATGCCTCTTCCATGCCTCAGTTTCTCCACCAAAAATTGAATGCTGCATGATTTGCCCGAGTGTGTTCATTAGCAGGAATTACTTTCCTCCCTCTCCCTGTCTCCTGGAGCAGCTGTGATGTGCACAGGGATGTGTGGGGACAAGACACAGCCCTGCAGTAGCTGAATTCTGTCACACCATTGGGTAGTTTGGTGGTGCTTGAAATTTTATAGGTCATGTGCACCATTAAAATGATTTCCATGCCTGTGTTTGGAGAATCTGCTGTGCCCACTTTCGTTTCTATCCACACGACCGATCCAGGGCCATATGTTAAGAATATAACTGCTTTTAATTTATTATTTTTTTTAAAAAATCCATTGGTGTCTAAATCCATCTAATAAAAATGCAGACTGGAGCTCTTTAATGAGGCGTAAGTCAGTCCAGGCTCTCTTTTTTTATAAGACAAAACCACCTCACACACTGCCTTCTTTTTCTATGGACTTGTGCTTTGCATTTCTACACATTCATCATAGCATGAAGCCTCTGACAAAAGGAAATAAGAAAAGATGGTTTAAGAGACCGTTTTGCTGTGCATAAACCTGAACCTTTGCAAAGGGAAAACCCTGGCCTTCAGCAAGTGAACTGCATGAGGCTGTGTGATGACAGAAAGGAGAAATAAAAATTATAGTGCTGAGTAAGTTTAGTGTAGTTGTGAATTGTACAGCAAAGAACAGGAGCTCTTAGGAAGGGAAATATTTCCAGTTTTGCTTTGCAAAATCGCAAAATTCAAGTGATGGTTGGAAGTTTTTTGCCACCAAAAAATCTTCATTTGCTGGTTAAGCCAGTGGTCAGGGCCATGAGCAGCAGCATTTGGGTGGAGGCTGGGGGTGTGTGGCTGCCTCTGATTTTGGGGGCTTTGGGAGGAAATGGCTTTGCTGCAGGAACAGCTCAGCTCAGCTGCTTGCTGAGGTCCTGTGGCTGTGGTTTGACAGCTGAAGTCAGAGCACAGCTGTGAAATCGGACTCTGCTCACACATGGTTGTGGCTGGCTGTGAAATCCTCCGTGGTTCTGGCAGTGACAGCGCCCAGCCTCACACAGCTGGTCCAGAGTGGGGAAAAAAGGAGATTTGCTGGTTTTGGAAGGGCCTCATCCTTTTCTCAATGCTCGTGGTTGGTCCTGCATGGTCGGTGTGGTGACAAGGCCCAAGTTGGGGTCTCAGTCTCCTTTTGCTAGAGAGGACCCAAAACTTGCTTTACCAGGTTTATGGAGGAAGGAAAGGAGGAGAAGGGAGTCTTAGCAACTCCAAGCTGTGATCCAGGACTGAAAGCCAGAGGTTCTTGGGGCTTCTGCTGGTCAGAGTGACCCCAAGATGCGTTAGAAAGTCTCTTTTCCCAGCCTGGAGATCAAAGAAGGAGTCAGAACTCTTCTATTCTCATTCTCAAGGTTGTTTATTGCTCCTTATCTATAAAATTCTTTCTCCTGTCCAGCTGAGGTCCGCTCAGCAAGACAGTCCAGGCACTCTGCCTGCCCCCAGGGCGGTGTTATCTTTTTATGCTAAAAACTACCTGTACATTATTTACAATAACTTCCCAATCCCTATCACCTGTGTTAGACAGTGAGCTTCTACTCTAAACCAATCCAAAAGTGCCACATCACAGCAGAAGATGGAGGCCAAGAAGAAGAAGAAGGAGAAAGGCTGGACATGCCCAGATCCCTCCATCTTGCCTCCTGAACCCCCATTCTAAAAACCCCAAAAATCTATTTTTCACCCTGTGATAAATTCAGTATTATTCTGCTTAATTTGTCATGGCTTGCAGATCTTCATCTAAGGTTGGTAACTTGCTGCATGGTTCATAATCAAAACCAGAGGGATTTTGGGCTCTGTGCCAGGGTCTCTGAGCCCCCTGGCAGGGGTCTGGGCTGCTCAGGACAGCCAGAGGGATGTCCTGAGGTTTTGTATGTAGAACAACAGATCTGTAAGACAGAACATGAAGAAGATGTTGATGACTTTTCTGAAATGCTGGCCCACAAGAAAAGTTTCTGAGAGAAGGTAGTCAGGGCTGTGGTTTTTAATTTAAAAAAAAATCTTTCTACAGGCAGTCAAACTTTCAGATTTAGCAAGACTTTGCATAACAGGAGGTGCTTTGTTGACAGGCTGCACGTTCACTTGTAGTCACAGGAGCACAATGATAAATTATTTAATTATAGATACCCAAAGAAGCGAACCAGGCGCCCGCTGGGCTGTGTTGTCCCTCTGCTTCCCCACTTTGCACGGTTTCTTGCTGGCTGATTCCCAAAATCCAGCTGTTGGCAGCAGTGGTCTCACAGTTATTAATATTAATTAGCAAAGTTCTGCTCTGTGAGTGTTCCTGCACGCACACAAAGTGCTCAGCTCCTGGGCTGTGTAACGAGCGCGTGCTCAGCCTCGTTGTTAATTAGCAGCATCCCTCCAAGGACCTGTGCTCCTCCTGGGGGTGGAAGTTTGGTGTGGAGCTGCCTGTGGTAGTCAGAGCCAGTCCCTGCTGGGACTCACGTGCCATAGCTGGGTTGTCAGCTTTTTGCCCTTTGTTTTAATCTCAGCTTCTCCTCTGTGCATTCTTCTCGCTAAGCAGCACGGTTGCTAAGGTTAGTTTCTTTTCAGGTTTGCCATTAGAACCTTGTTTTAATCAGTGCTGACAAAATCCTGGCTGGATCTGTGCTCCAGGTAGGGGTGAGATTTAAGTGTTCTTCAGAAAGCTTTCATGCTCCAGGAACATGGTGCTCCTTGTGCTGACAGCAGTTTTGTGTCTCTGCCTCTTAATAACCATCCTGTAGTAACACCTTCTTCCTTGATTTGCAAAACAGCTCCATTCCAAGAAGAAATTTCCTCCTGAAAATGTGGAAGTGAGGTTTGTTCTTGGCAAATCCAGCTGGGGCTTTATTATGGCTCTGATTTAATATCCTTGGTGATGGAATGCTCCTGTTGTGGGGGAAACATCTCTGAGAGGTGATTCTCTTTACAGAAGAACATTCCCCTCTTATTTTTTTTTAACACTGAAGGCAATAGAAAGGAAGAAGCTGATAAATAATATGACTATAAGTGAGAACCAAATTATACTTTAATTTTTATGGATGTTCATGATAGAAAAGCAATGTGAGATGAGGAGGTCTTTCCAGAAGAGGAGGGTTGCTCTTAAATATCTCTGCTTTGTCCCTGGGTTTATGTGTTCAGTATCATCCAGAAAACTCTTGGTTTTGCATTTGATTGTAATTTGCATTTAGATTGGCTGCCTGAAGGGAGTCTCTTGCGAGGGGAGATGGGGCTATGTGGCTCCAGTCTCTTGCAGATCTGGCTGGAAGTAATGGCATTTACATAAAAACCATTAGCTCTGTTATTGATAAACATGAAAGGCATCCATTTCATTTAATTTTTTTGATGAAGAGCTTTTAATATAAGCACACAATAGCACCGAGGTAGTAACATTCCTGCCCCCCATCCCTCTGTACTGACCTCTTGTTTTAAGGGCAAGCTTTGATTGGGATTTTGTTGGTGGAGAGATGGGAAGTTATCTCTATTCCAATTTACTGGAGTAGCCAGTTGTTGTGCTACATTGTGGGGAATTATTTAATGCTCATTTTAAGAGGTGTCTCTATTAATTGAACGGGGATTTAATGTCTCCCTGAAGCACAGTTGGTCTGTGTGTGATGTATACCAACGTGTACGGCTGGCAATTCCATGGATAATCTTTTCCTTAATCAAAATGGGTTTAAGCAGAACTTCAGTGGCGCCTCATTAAGGGGATAAAGTGTGTTGGAACAACAAATATATTAAAGGGAACTTCTTTGGTGCACTCCAGATCAGAGCCCATGCAACCCTTCAGCACAGTGTCTGCATAAACATTTGTTCCCTTTCGTGTGTAATGGTGCTTTGGGGATCAGGACGTGGCACAAAGAGCTGTGATTCACTGCCTCTGGAGGAACTGGCTTTGGGAAGCTCTTGCTGCTGCTCTCATGTATAAATACTTTGCTTTTCTCCTGGGCTGCCTCAGGTCTGACCTCAGCAGCCTCCAAAGGCAGCCGGTGCTGCGGTTGTTTTCAAGCATCACAGCATTTGCTTGGGAGACCTTGCTGGGAGCTTTGCAGGTGCTTGGAGTTCTTGACCTCGGAGCTGGGGAGGTGAGGGTGTCTGTTCTGCATTGATGACCTGGCCTGCTTCTTTGTCAGGACCCAGGACATCCCTCTGGCTGTCCTGAGCAGCCCAGACCCCTGCCAGGGGGCTCAGAGACCCTGACACAGAGACCAAAATCCCTCTGGTTTTGATTATGACCCGTGGAGCAAGTTACCAACCTTAGATGAAGATCTGCAAGCCACGACAAATTAAGTAGAATGATAGTGAATTTATCATGGGGTGAAAAAGTAGATTTTGGGGTTTTTAGAATGGGGGTTCAGGAGGCAAGATGGAGGGATCTGGGCATGTCCAGCCTTTCTCCTTCTTCTTCTTGGCCTCCATCTTCTGCTGTGATGGTGGCACTTTGGGATTGGTTTAGAGCAGAAGCTCACTGTCTAACACAGGTGATAGGGATTGGGAAGTGATTGTAAATATTGTACAGGTAGTTTTTAGTATAAAGACATAACACCACCCTGGGGCAGGCAGAGTGCCTGGAACTGTCCTGCTGGACGGACCTCAGCTGGACAGGAGAAAGAATTTTATAGATAAAGAACAATAAACAACTTTGAGACTGAGAAATGAAGAGCTCTGACTCCTTCTTTGATCTCCAGGCTGGGAAAAGAGACTTTCTAACTCATCTTGGGGTCACTCTGCCAAGCTAGAGATCCTGATACTTCTTGATGTAAAAAACTTGTTAAAAATTTTTTGGGTCACTTTACCAATATTTACAGCTCTTTTTTTCCTCTCTAACAGGCTCCAGACAGATGAGTAGAGAGCTGGCTGCAGAAGAGGGGCAGATTCCAGTTTGCCAGCTGCTCACAGTGTACAGTGAGTACCTTCATATTTCAGGAATAAAACTTTCTGTAGTGCCTGATGTCAGCCTCAAATTGCCTCCATTGGGGCTCAGCATTAAGTCTGCATGCTTGCACAGTGTTCTCCTAAAAGTACAAGCTTCCTTGGCTTAACTCTTGTTTTGGGAGAAGTGTGCTCCAGCTCCTTTTAGCTGAAGTGATAAATTGTGTCCTCATCCTACTTCCAATAGTGGCAGAGCAGAGAACTGCTGCAATTCTGCTCAGGGCTGTGGGGAATCAACACTAAAGGTGTCACCTTGAGGCTTCCTGTGCTGCAGGATCAGGAGTGGAAATGCTCCCCAGAGCTGTTCCAGCCTTGTTGGAGGTGTTGGAGCTGAGTGAGGAGGGTGGATGAGGTTCCAGCCACGGCACATGCCGGGGTTGCTCATAAATGAGTGCTATGAAATCAGCCAAATGAGGCTTGGCTTGACTGGTGGGTGGAAAAGAGCAGGAATAAACCACTGGAAAGCATTGTCCAGTTCATGGGAAGGATGGCAGGTTTGCCCTGAAAGTGGAGGAGAAAATCTTTATTTCATGGGGAATTTTTACACATTAAAATGTCTTGCATGCGTGTTAATGAGCTGTAATAACGAGCCTGTGCTTTATGAGGTGTCTGCAAACATCTTAGAACTCACAACTGTGAGGGAGTAAATACTCCAGCTAGTAAATTCTGAGCAATTGGAATGTCTTGGCCCATGTGGTGCAGTGGTGTGGCCAGACTGAAATAGGGAATTGCCTCTGAAAGCCAGGAGGATGCTCTAGCACAGGCTGTAAAATTCAGGTGAGTGTGGGAGCTGCAGCAATTGAGTTTATTGTGACAGTCCTAGCAGGTGATTCCCTAAGGATAACGTGGGATGATGAATCTTGAAACTGAAAGTGTTTGTTAACAAAAGTCAAGGATGAAATAATGCATTTAGAGACTGGGTTGTGTCATCAGGTTGGTGTGGATGTATCCAGGGAGCAGGGCAGAGAATTCCTGTGCTTCTGGGAAAGAAGGCAAAGAGAGACAAACTTATTTGTGGATTCCTCATTTCTCCCACATCCATCCAGTACATGCAGGGTGTCCTGGGCTCAGGTGTCTATTCCTGTGTATTGCAGCATTTCTCCTTGTACTTCTGGATCCAGGAAATCTTTGTGCCCTGCCACACACAGCAGGGACTCCCCTCAGCTGGAACACAGCTCCTGTGAAAAATTCCACGGTGAATAACAAAGCTGGGAGTAGCAGTGGGGGCACGTGAAGGACAAACCACGCCGGTATCGACCAACGGTGCCAGGGCCCTCATCGACAGCTCTGATCCCAGGCTGTGCTCTGAGCCACATCTGCTGACTTGAGGAGCTGCAGTCAGTCAATACCATTGAATTCTCCTTCTCTTTTGCATATCTTAAGGAGGAGGAAGTCTCAGGCTGACAGCTCTGTGCAGTTGCACAAGGCCAGGGCTGCACAGCTTTCCCTCAGCATCAGGATCTCTGGCTTGGCAGAGTGACCCCAAGATGAGTTAGAAAGTCTCTTTTCCCAGCCTGGTGCTTGAAGAAGGAGTCAGAGCTCTTCATTTCTCAGTCTCAAGGTTGTTTATTGTTCCTTATCTATAAAATTCTTTCTCCTGTCCAGCTGAGGTCCATCCAGCAGGACAGTTCCAAGCACTCTGCCAGCCCCTGGGGTGCTGTTATGTCTTTATACTAAAAACCACCTGTACAATATTTACAATCACTTCCCAATCCCTATCACCTATGTTGGACAGTGAGCTTCTACTCTAAACCAATCCCAAAGTGCCACCATCACAGCAGAAGATGGAGGCCAAGAAGAAGAAGAAGGAGAAAGGCTGGGCACACCCAGATCCCTCCATCTTGCCTCCTGAACCCCCATTCTAAAAACCCCAAAAATCTACTTTTTCACCCCATGATAAATTCACTATCATTCTACTTAATTTGTCGTGGCTTGCAGATCTTCATCTAAGGTTGGTAATTTGCTGCTTGGGTCATAATCAAAACCAGAGGGATTTTGGTCTCTGTGCCAGGGTCTCTGAGCCCCCTGGCAGGGGTCTGGGCTGCTCAGGACAGCCAGAGGGATGTCCTGGGTTCCCACACCCTGGGACATCATTTGGCCTGTGCAACATTTATTGCACTGCTGTGGTGGGCAGCACATTCAGCATTGACCTTCAGGGGCCCTTCTGGGTTAGTGGGCCTGGTGCCTAGAGGAATGAATGTAGGAGACAAGGATTCCAGGTTTGGAGTCCTTTTTAGGGTGGAAGACTGTGAGTAAAGCAAGGAGTATGGATTTAGGTCAGTAGGAGATAGCTGAGGGAAGGGCTTTTCTTGGCAGGAAGATTCTGGAAACAGTCTGTGATTGCCATGGAGCAGAATGGCAAAATAACCTGTTTCAAGGGACTCCTTAACAAGTCATTTTAATGCAAAACTCTCTCCATGACACTAAATATCGAAATAACTGGGTTGGGCCTGGAATCTAAGAATACTTTCAGGACAAGTCATCTTCAAACACTTCCTGAGACTTCCTGGCTTGGCAGCAGAGCCAAGTTCTGCAGGAGTTTTGCAGCAGGTCCCTTCCTGTGAGGATGTGGCACCATCCACGTGAACACCAGCGTGGGTCTGACGCTTCCTGTGCTTCACACAGGTCTTTGCTCACAGCTGCAGTGCAGAAGGGCTGGGGGAGAGCACTTGGGCATGGCAGGGAGGGTTTGTGCTGCCTGGGCCTCCTGGGAAGTGAGAGGGTGGAATTCCTGCTCCTTGCTGCTGGAGACTTTTGTCTGCTTCTTAAAAACCCAGGATGTGGCAAACAAAACACCTGAGCTGGGGGAGGCTGGCTCTGTCCTGTCTCCAGCCATGGCCAGCAGGAATGTTCTTCATCTCCCATCAGTTTATTCAGCTCTTGTGCTTTTTCAGCCTCTGTTCAGGCATTTCAAAGCTTAACTTGGTGTGCTGGATCACTTCCTTTTGGTAACTGCACCTTCTGCCAGCTCATATTTGGGGAATTGTCATTTGCATTAAAATTCTGTAAATCCCTACTTGTTCCCTGTCAGAGGCCTCTTCTCCTGACTAAAATGTCCTAATTGATTCAATGGTCCTTACAGAGATGCTTCATGCTTTTGACCATCTTTATTGTATTCACTGTTTACAATTTGTGGTAATTTTTTCTCCTCTTGAGTGTTCTTATTAAAAAATTGAAAGAACCTTTGGGTTTTTGAGGTCCTGTCCTTTTGCTGGAGTTCTCTGTATATTTAGCCATAGAAAAGAAAACAGGAATTTTGATGTTCCATGTAATAATAGTCTTTTATTATTTTTTTTTCTAAAAAGCAGAGATTTGTGTGTGTCTAATCTAAAAACTCTATCAGAAAAGCTATGAATAAACCTGATAGCATTCCAGTGCACTGAGTCACTAGAACAATACATTGTTAACAAGGAGCCCTGGCAGGGTTGTGTGGCTTTTTGCTAAAGCTGTCAGCCAGGATATGGGATGCATCTTTGTATCCTGCAGCAGTTTTGTGAAACTAAATGGCTGCTGGTGTCCACTGCATCTTCTAAATGGTGACAAGAATCATTCTGGGTGTTAAACCCTCTCCCCCTCTGCATTGCTTAAGAAATTATATCCAAATGGAGAATTGGTCTTATTTAGAGAAATATAAATCAGTCATCAGACAGGTTCTGGTTCTGCAAGAGCAGGACCTGGCTCTCCATCTCCTCTGCTCTGTATAAATGATATTTATTTTATTAGTGGCTTCCAGAAAGTACAACTGGAATGTGATGTGATTAAAGTGTTACCACCAGGGCTGCAATCCCAGGGCACTTGGGGCTGACAAGCCTGTGGTTTTCTCTATCTGCCCTGACTCACATCTGTGGCTTTTGTGCTGCCCTGAGGTGAGTCAGGGCTCCTGCAGGGGTGATTGAAGCCCTGGCCTGTGGGCAGCCTGGGAAACTTGGGCCTCTGTTCAGCTGAGAACTCTAGGATGTTTTCCTCGGTGCTGAATCACAGCTCCTGGACCATCCCGAGCAGTTTTTTCCCAGTGTTCAGCTTTATCTTCCATGCCTCCACTGCTATTTCCACCACTGTGCTTTTCTTCTTGCCTCTCTGCTGCCTTCCTTCCTGCCTTTAGCCCCACAAAGCTCCCAGCTCTGTCTCTGCTCCACTGTGGCTCCTGTTTTGCACAGGGAACCCAAAGGACCGAGTCCTTGTGGCAGTTCTCTCCCAGTTCATTGCACAGATCTGTCAATAAAACACCAAAAACTCCCCAAAGCCTCACCTGGCCTGCCAAGATGTGTCACCTGTGCCTCAACCAGTCCTGAACCCAGCTGGGGAGTCCTCCTGGACAGGTGATACCGGGAGGAGGACAGAGGGAGAGAAATACAGCCAGAAACTCCAGGTTGATTTTCTGTCACTCCTCAGGGTGTCCCAGCCCCTGCTTGTTGGTGAAGGATGGAGGATTTTTAGTATTCCTTCCTTTCATATCTATATCTATATCTATATCTATATCTATATCTATATCTATATCTATATCTATATCTATATCTATATCTATATCTATATCTATATCTATATCTACATCTACATCTACATCTAATCTACATCTATATCTATATCTATATCTATATCTATATCTATATCTATCTATCTATATCTATATCAAACCTCTATATCTATATCTATATCTATATATCTATATCTAGATATAAATACATAAATTTATATTAATGGCCCTTTCTTTGACTCTCCTGAATGTGAAGTTGCACACAGCCAGCCCGTCAGCCCACAGTCAGCCTACTGTAATTATTTCAGCTGTAGTTTAGTAAGGTAGTAAATTGAGAGTAATTTTTAATCTGCTTGGGAGAAAAACAGCTTAATTGTCTGTTTCTCCTGGTGGTTCCAGCATTATTTTTGGCCTTAGAGGGTATAAATGCAGCAGACATTGATCTCCCTGCATGAGGGGTCAGCTCTTCCTGGACAGCACTGGAACACTGCATCTATTT